CTTAACCTTCAACTTGTTCAACTCCCGGTAATCGATGCACATCTGGTGTGAACCATCCTTCTTCTTTCCAAAAAGGATCGACGCTTCCCATGACATACTACTCAGCCAAATGAAACCTTTCCCAAGCTCCTAAATCTGCGAGGATAACTCCTGCGCCTCGGGAGGTGCGAGATGATATGCTGCTTTGGAAATAGGCACCGCCCCCGAAACCAAATCGATCCAGAACTCCACCTGCCTCTCAGGAGGCACACCCCGCAAATCCTCAGGGAAAACATTTGGGAAATCACATACCACTGGAACATCGAAAACAAAAATCTATCTCTCGTTGACAACCCGAGTATCCACTACATAAGCTAAAAAGCCCATACATCCCTGCTGTAGACTTTGTCTTGCCCTGGCGGCAGAGCAGAAAGATGATCCCGATCTAGTTCCCTCGCCATAAACAGTAAGTACTCCCCCACTAGGTTCTTGAATGGTCACCATCTGACGCTCACAATCAATCGTAGATCCAAATCGGCTCAACCAACCCATCCCACTATGACGCATACATCTCGCATCGCTATCGGAACCAAATTTATCGAAAACTCAACACCAAAAATCTCCAAAACACAACCCCGGAATACATCAGTGGCAAAAACCGCATGCTCGTCGGTTATAGAAACCCTCAGTGGTCGACTCAAAGCCTCGCGTCTAACACTTATGCGACGACTAAAGGATAAAAAAACGAAGGATCGACTCGCACCCGAGTCAAATAGCATCAAGTTTGGCATATAATTCACAAGAAAAGTACATATATTAAACACAATATAATCATAAACTAGTCATAATAACAACATGAATAATGAGATACATACCAACAACAATGTCAGGTGATGCGCAGACCTCCTCCGTAGTCACTTGGAAGGCTCTCCCACGAGCTCTCGGAGCCTCGGCCTTCCCTAGCCGACCATTAGTAACACACAAGGCGGCAGGAGAAGAGGCATAGGCTGGTCCCTGAGTGAGATGAGGACACTTGGCCTTTCGATGGCCAGTCTGGTTGCAATGAAATCAAACTAAAAATCCATTGGGGCAATCCTTTGCTATATGTCCCTCTTTGTCATATATGTAGCAACTTCTCTGTTGGTAAGATCCCTCGTGACTCTTACCACACTTGCCACAAGTGTGGCCCTTCTGGCCTCCTACTCTAGAATCAGCGGGTTAGGCTGCTTGGTCTCCGACTACGATTGCTTTGGTATCTTATCTCTCCCATGAGATTCTCTATCCTCCCTCGTCTGAGTCTCCAGCTCGATCTCCCTCCTCCTAGAATTGGTATGTATCTCACACAATCTCCAATATGATGAGTACGTAACGAACTCTTGAATGTTACTCCTCAATATGCTCAAGTACCGGCTCACACGTGCTTGGTCAGTAGCCATGTGCACAGGGCAGAATACCGCCCTCTCATTAAAAATCCACGTGATCTCTGTCACTGTCTCTGTCTTCTGCTTGAGAGACAGAAACTCCTGGGCCAGTTGTACCCTCTCCACCTAGGGAACGAACTCATCTCAAAGTAGTTGGTTGAATCGCTCCCAAGTCACTGCAGCATGATCTGCAGGAGCGTAATCAGTCATCACAAACTTCCACCACTCCTTCGCTCCCTAGCGAAGCTGGTTCAGCATAAATCGAACCTTCATGTTCTCAAGGTGTGAACAAGTATAAAAGCATCCCTCGACGTCATAGATCCATCTCAACATAGCAATCAGAACCTGGGTCCCATCAAACTTTAGTGGCTTCGTGTTGCCGAACTCTCGAAACATCATTGAATCATCCACTGTGGCCTTGCAGATGCAAGAGTTGCGGTGGCTGCGGCAGCTGCAACCTCAGCGATGGCAGCATAACGCTCTTCAAAAGTCTCGATGAACGTGGTCTTAATAGACCCAAACATATCCAGAATGAGCTTTCTGATAGATGCTGCCACCTCATCCGTAATAATCATGTGGATCTCCTCGTCACTGGTACACGCCCTCTCAAGGTTGCTGGAGCCTAAACCTCGAGTAATCACCATAGTCTCTCTCTGGAATACGAACAAAAAAATATCAGGAATAGGCTAAAGTCCATGCATGATACTTTAAGCTTAAAAGACCCAAAATTGAGGTCTACAAGATGCATGGGGCTATCATGGCCATAAAGCTTGCATCTTTATGCCATGTACTCCTTCCTAGAACCTAGATCTGAGATAAGAACTATTTGGGACATCCCAACATCAAGGACCAAGGTTTTTGAGCCAAAACCCTCTTAATATGGGGACAAATAGATCTAAGAGAAAGAAGACCAAGTTGTAAGCTTGATTACCAAAAAAGATGGCAAAAGGGGTGTAGCTCCTGGATCTACTCCTTCTCCCTTGAGTCTTTTATCTTCCACTTCTTCCACTAGCTTCAAGATACACCAAATAACACTCAAAACAACCAAGAAAGCTCAAGTTCACTTATGGAGGATTAGGGTTTCGAGTGTAATGCTCTAGAGGTGATGGAGGCTGGGGTGGAAGCCTTACAAGATGTTTAAATAGGGTGCAAACCCTCCAATTTAGGGTTTCACTCAGACAACTCCTACTCGTCGAGTCAGTCTTCCGAATCTTCGAGTAGGTCACTTAATCCCCCGACCCGGAGTCCATCCTACTCGACGAGTTGAGCCCCCAACTCGCCGAGTCCAAGAGTAAAATATGAAGTTTGAATTGAATTTAATTTCATACCTAAGATCGGGTGTTACATTAGCCCAAGGCCCAAAAATGTTCCTTAGTCCAAAAACTTCCAAAATCAGATGGCCCAACTAAGCCCTAACCTTTAAAGCCCAAAACGAAGCCCAAAATGAAACCCAAACCCAAAGCCCAACAACGAAATGCCATTAGACTGAGTATATTGGGAGTACTTTAATGGTACGCTAAACGTACCAGCACGAAGGCTTGTATGTTGCGCGTACAGGGGTGTACACCCATCGTACTCTTCCACTTTAGCCAACTTCAAGATTAAGCTCCTAACGCATTAAGAATTTGCTCCAAGATGCATATCTGACCTCTTTAAGCTGAAATACCACGTAAAGTTGCTAACTTTATGTCCATACATGACCAAAAGAAGCTCTAAAGCTCAACAAGGACTTAATAAAGGACTTAATGAAAGCATGAGACCCCTAAACTCCATAAAGTTGGCACCTTTATGCCAAAGGAGTCCATGAAGACCTTAGATCTGAAAGAATAAGCCTTTGGGACGTCCTAATCCCAACATCCATCCAAACCATGGCTAAAAACGTAACAATTTATCCCTATATAATCTCATTATGTTCCTTGAGCCTTGCCTCTTATCAACCTCCATACCTCCTAAACCCTAATCTCGACCCTTAGCCGCCATTTTAGTGTTCTTGAGCTCTTGCGAAGAATCTTAGTGTTTTCTTGTGCATTTTGAAGAGATAGAAGGTTATTGAAGATTCATTGCTTGGAGTGAAGCTTAGAGATCTAGATTATAGGCCAGGGGTAATCCAACCAGGAGGTTATGGACTCGATATCTGTTTGATTATATGTTTATGTGGTGGTACTTTGTGGGAACTCACTAAGCTTCGACTTACATTTTAGTTTATGGTTTTAGGTACTTCAGAGAATCGTGGGAAAGCAAAGGTGTGATCATGCACAACTTCCTGTTTTTATGGCTTTGGGTCTTGGGAAAACTCTGATTTTGAAATAATGCTTTCGTAAACAACGATATTAAATGGTTGATTTGAAATTTTGAAAATTTGTTTTTGGGGATGTTACAGTTCAGTTAGACTATAGATCCAAGGAGAGAGGTGCAGGTGTAATGTTGGCTTTGCAAGTCGGTCTAGTGTGACTGTAGGCTCATGTGTGCATGCATTGTATAAGTGTTTTTGTGTACAGTATTTTGGTGGAACTCACAAACTTTAACTTACACTTGTGGATTTAAATGTTTCAGGTACTTTATAGGATTGGAGGAAGGCGAAGATGTGATCGTATATATCATCCCATAGATTTATGTTTGAGAAATGTTATTTGATACTCTGATTTTATGGTTATGTTTTAAAACTATGAATTAGATAACTTATGATTTTTATGGAAATATCTTTGAAAATTAAAAATTTTACTATGATTTTTGGGACTTTACATGAACCCACCATCGTTGTGTATTTTAAATGTGCAAAAGCTTGATACAAGACCTAATGAAGGTTAAAGAAACTAATGTTGCATATATAGAGCCAAAAGTATCACGGACGTTACAAGGTTATTTCTATCATACTCTTTATGTATGTCAGATGGTCACGTAGAACGTGGACATATGGTCCACAGAGTGAGCATCATTGGAGTTTAACCCTAAGATGCTTGCAGTGGATGAGTTTGCACTATGAATCGAGTCAATGGTATAAAGAAGATGGGTTAATCAGTCACTTAGGAGGCTTACAAACAGGGTTTCTTGGGACGAGAAAGATAATAATTAACTTCGTATGAAACTCAACCTCTCACCCACTTTATTATTTCGAGAAATCCTTATGCGAAATGTCCAAAATGACTTCATGTGCAAGGCACATGGGGCAACTTAACGTCTATTTCAGCAGTCATCTCACACAAGGATCATTGTCGTGAAAACTTCTACAGAAAAGGATCATTGATGCAAAAAAAAGGTTTCATAATGGTTTTAAGGAAAAATTTTAAACAATAAGGACCATTTGTGCAATTTTGTATTTTTTATATATCATTCAAATAAACAGATCATCATCTAAGTTATTGTTTAGGTCTTACAAAGTTGTCCCTCAAATGACACACAGATATCAGAAACAAATGTATAAAAAGATGTTGAAAGTTTAGGTTGGGGATATGAACAAGAAAACCAATCATGTGGTATACTTAATAAATGACAGCAAAACAAGTAGCATTTTTTTTTTGGAAACTAGCAAGACATTATAATAATGTTTTAATGGTACACAAATAATTGTGTTATAATTTAGGCCCAAAATAATAATAAAAATTAAAAAACTCTACCAGTCAACTCCAACACAGACTCTTCCACCAGCTCCTCAAGCAACTTCCCTTCTATATCCTTTCTTGTATCATCAATTTCCAATCTCAACCCCTCCACCCACCCCCTCCCCACCACCTCCTTCCTCACCACCTCCTCCACCACACTCCCGCCATCACCATCACTATCCTCCCACCTCTCCTCCCCGGAAAACAACCATTCCTTCATCTGGGCCCACACTCGGTCCCCCACCAATGCTGACGTCATCATCATCGCCATGTGAGCCCCACCCCCACTACCAATATCCATCAACGCCTCGTTGACACAATCAAACATGAGTTTTGTCATGGATCTATGATGATGATGCCTTTGTTTGCTTTGCGACAAAATCGAGTCTTTTTCTGTTAGGTTCATGTACTTGTCCCTCAATGATGGGTCCAGCGGGCTTTCGGGCGAGTGCCACCTGGCAAAAAGTGAGTTTGATCGGGTCTTATGGAGACCTGCTACTGATAACAAGGTCTCCACATACAACAGACATTCTTGCTCCTCTTCCTGTGGGTTTAGTGGTGGTGCTGATGATGAGGGTTTACCGGAGTACGGTGTGGCTGAGCCTAGGCTAGTATCATCCCATGATAGGGTCCGGGATATGGACCCAATGGGTGGAGATTTGTCAATCAACTTGTATTTCATAGAATCTACATCAATGTTAACAATCGTGGATAAATAAAAAAGAAACCAACAGTTTTTATACTTTAATAATCAGTTAAGAAAATTACCATGTTTATTCAGCTTGGCATTTGCTGTGTGATCGTCTTCTTCAAATTGTGGTTCCAATACTGATATAGGGCTTGGTTGGTCTTGGTTCTCACTGCTGTGGTTTCTAACAAACTCAGGATTTTTAAAAGAAAATCCAGCCTTCTGCAACACCAACAGCTTATTAATCAGTCAATCAATCATTCAGACAATAAAGATAAATACTATAAGCAAATTTGTGAAAAGTTAGGACTTAAGTTAAAAAGATACAAAAGAAGCCATACCTCAGGTAAAACTATGCTTTGTGATCTTCTATATAATTGACTACATGATTCATCTTCAACACACTGAGATCCTTCATTTCTTGGGCGTTCATCCTTTGACTGGTTTGACTTCTCTTTGCTGGATTTCTTGTTTTTGGAGAAAAACAAACTTGAAACTCTCCCCTTGAATGATGATGATGATGATGATGATGATGATGATGATTTCACAAGCTTTTCCTTGCTTAAGCTATCATCTCCTTTCCCTTCCAAGGAACCTGAAACTCCAGATGTTGGAACAGATTTTGATCTTGAAAGCTTTCTAGGGCTATTATCATTATCATCATCTTCATGCTTGTTCAAATCATTAGATCCCATAATAATCATCTCTTGTTTATTTTCCTCTGGTTTTACCGATTTCTTCAAATCAGAAAGAGCAAGCATGTCACCCAATGTACTGGAGCTTCTTTGTATCTGTCTTTGTTCCTGAAGATTCTTATTTGATGCCATCATTGCCCATCTTTCAGAAAGACGTTTCTTAGCTTCCCTACAGACAGATGACTCTGGTGAATAAGAAGCACGGCTGGATGAAGTGGCATAGTGGCTATTAAACCGATTAATATAGTCCCATGAGTGTCTAGAAGTTGGTGACACAACTTCTGAATCACTAAGGTTCCCTGCTGCATAATCAATTTCTGATTTACAAAACGAACTATCATCACCAATATAACCATTTGAAAAAACAGAAGAAAGAAGGGTCTCGTCTCTTCTAAGTGCAATCTCCTCTTCTTCAGCTTCTCTTGATTCCAACACCTCACTGTCTTCTGGTTCTGGATCCCCATCAAATACATCATCATCATGTGAATGTGAATCAACAACTTTGATGTTATGAGGTTTTAGTATCACAATACGCGTTGGCTGCATAGGGTTTTCATCGGTTTTGCAACATTCAGGAGAAAAGAAGATATCGGAACTGTTTTTATCCCATGGTTTCAGGTCCTGTTTTTCAATTTTCTTTTGAGTATCCACCAACTTAGAAGGTCTAAGAACTGTGATGCGTCTAGAGTCTGGAGGTGGAGGAACAGACTGCAGATTGTATAGATGCTGAGAGAATAATGAATTGGGTTCTTGAAGAAACTTGAGAAACAAATCTTTATTGGAACTTAAAACTTCCAATGCATCTTGAAACTGTTTGGACTGGCGAAGTTTTTCATCAGTGGATAAACGTTTGGCTTCCATGAACTTTTCCCTGATAAGATCCATCTTACTCTCACTCTGTTTTTCACTACATCTTTCTTTGTAATGTTGCTGCCATATTTCAAAAACATCTTTGGTGTATTCTTCCTGTTCAGGGCACTTTGTGATCTCATGTTTTGACTGTGTGTCCAAGGATTCTGATTGGCTCCTTGAATGGCTCCTGCATGAAGCTGAAACAGGTTGTTGATGCTGCTGTGGGAGGGCATCCAGCCCCATTAGCTTGGCAACCAAATTAGATGGACTTTGCTTACATTCATCTTCTTTGGACATTTCTTGTGCAATTAGCATCTTTATGGGTGTTCCACTTCCATCATGATGTGGCTTGTCTGTAAGGAGCCTGCTCCCTCCCAAACCAGTGTTCAAATCAAACAGGTTCACCATTCTTCCCAAGCATCCTGAAATAGGTTTCTCAGGATTTCGGTTTTTTCCATTCTGAATTCGGCTCATTTTTATACCTGTGAATGGTGCATTTCATAGTTAGTAGTAATCATCATTGCTGTCTTACTCTTACAGCACAAAATTGGGTTTTTGAAGAGATATCCATAGGAAGGCATCTTAATGTATTGAAACCCAACAAAGAGGAATTAAAAAGAGGCAAGCAAATAGGCGAATACCAATCTCGGTAGGTAGGAAAAATTCAAATGTATATTAAACACCAATATAGGGCAAACTGATAGATTCCTTAAAGATCAAATCAAGAAAAAAGAAAAGTGAATCTAGAGCAAACAACATGATGTTGAATAAAGAGCATCTACTAGGCTATCAGTTACTAAGAATAAAAAAATAAAATAAAAAGACAACACCTCTGATTGATGTTCTTTGAAGGTAAAATGATTCAAGCTCCGGATATCAAGAATCGCAATCAGAAACACCTACTTGGTAGTTCGTTTTTGAACCATGAATAGGAGATATCATCATTTAATTCAGTAGGGTGTAGGTGAGGGGTGGGAGAAGCAAGAGATTTACAGAATCCCTTCCAAAAGATTATCTAGAGATAATAAATAAGGAAAAGGAGGGATAACAACAGGGACAGGACTATTACAGATTGTGAAATTCCAGCATATTCACATGAGACTTCACATCAAGCAGTCGCCACTTGAAATAGAGTTTTCAAAAGAATCCGAAAATGAAAATATATAATAGTTGAGAAAATCGAACAGACAAAACAAAATCACTACACCCGTTCAAATTGACATCATTATTTAATCAGTACAAATGTAAGGAAAAACAAAAGCCCTAATTTTATGTATCAACTTTAACTTCATCTTAAAAGCTATGTAATTATTTATCACAAGATCATTTGGAAAAAAGCTGTTCAATTACAGAAGAATAATAAGAGAATCTGATTCTGTTTTATACCTTCGAAAAGCGACCTCGAATGAGGAGCAAAACAAAACGAAAAAGGAGCTCACGCTGCTAAAAAAACCGCAAGAGAGAGAGAGAGAGAGAGAGAGAGAGAGAGAGAGAGCGGTTTTAGGTAGATAAAGTAGCGAGACCCTGAGATCAATACCTTATAGTGAAGCACTCGCTAAATGATCGCCGTAATCTGACATTCCGGTCATAAAACAGCCTGAGATTCGCCGATTTCGTCTTTGATTCTGTCGTTATTCAGATCACTGATCACTTCCGGTTACACGCACACACCCACTCGCCGGTGAGAGAGAAAATTTGCGAATAAAGCCAGATATAGCGATAATAAGGAGCCCGAAATAAATAAATATATATTTTTTTTATGTTTCATTAAAGCCCTCCTACATTTCTGTTACTTTCATAAAATCCCAGTTAACAATATTGTGTTTCATTTCAGGACAATACAACGGGGGGACAATGAGACATGGTAGGTAGCTATAAGAAAAGGAGACGTTATGGACAATTTTATTTTATGGTCCTTTGATTTTAGACAAATTTTTATTTGAATTCGTACTTCACTTGTACATGGTAAATGTTGTTTAAATTTTAAGCAACAATTTTTTTTTCAAAAGCAATCGGTATCGTATGTTATTTATATTTTATATTTTAAATTTATTTGCTTAGCATTATTTATATAGATTTTCATATATATTAGATGTGCTAGTTTAATAGTATGCGTATGATATTATAAATATGTCTGATTTCTCAACATCAACGGTTCTCATTTAATCTTTTCTTGATATTATAAACATATCATGTCATTTTCTGTAGTTAATGTACTTAAAGTTCAAAACTTCTCACATACAAAACCTTAATATAAATATTAATTTATGTTGTCTTTGGTAATTGGTATACTAGCTTATTCATTTTATAAGTTAGTTAATAATCAATAACCTATTTCATATACTTTATCAACAAAAAATATGAGTTATTTTCATTAAATATTAAATTGCAATAAATATAAAAAATAAAATAAAATTATACTTGTCAAACATACTCAATCATTAAGTTGACAAAATAATGATGATATAAGGATTAATGTGTTATTTCTTCCTATAACTAAAGTACCATTTGCGTAAATTAATTTCAATGTTTTTAACTGTCTTAAAAGGGTTTAGAACCGTTGAAAGTGTAACCTATGAATATGCAAGGGACCACCGCCAACAAACATCACCAACTTCGCAACGTTTAGGAACATTGTTTAACTTTATATTTTTTACGTATTATAACAATTAATAAATTGTAATTTTATATTCTTACTTTATTTTAACTTTTAATTAACAAATATCTTTATCTTTACTATTATATAAAGCATATTGCATATTTTTTGAAATTTAAAAGGTATAACAATTACAATATAACGTACAATCTTATTAAGCTTACATCCGTCTACCTGATCGTATCTTTACCCTTCTCTTGATGTTGAAAACACTAACACCCAGTTCCCGAGTTCAACTTAACGAGAGAAAGGAAAGAAAATGGATGGAAATGAGAAGAAAATAAAATAAATTGGTGTTTCCAAGTTTCATTAAAGGAAGAAAGTGGAGGGAAATAGAAATATCATTTTCCTTCCTATCTTTCCTTCCTATTTGGAAGGATTTTGAAGAAAAAAAGAAAATGATTAATTTTTCTTCCACTTCCCTTCAACTCGGGAACACAAAAGAAAATTTTGTTTTCCTTTCCTTTCTCTTCTTTTCTCTAATGACTTTCTTTTCTTTTCTTTGTTTTTCTTTTGATAAACTCGGGAACGGGGTGTAAACCCTAGCCTACTCTACACACAATTAGCAGTCGTCAAATGCATATCTCTTTTGTCGCTCTACTCACACTCCTCAATTTTCAGCAGCCCTTCGATACCACCATCCTCCTGACGTCACTGCTACAACCTAGAATAAGTCACCGGTCATCCCTCTCTACCTCTCTTTCTCTTCCCAAAACCACAACCACGCTCAACAAAACAATAATGAAACCCTAATCTAGCCACCGCCATCCCACGACTTATTGGTCGCTGACTTTTTCTTCTTCTCTCTCTGGTCTAAACAACCATCTTCATCTAATCAATAAAAAAAAATAATAATAAAAAAAAAATTAAAAAAAAAAAAACAACAACAACAACATGCAGATGGTGTTTTTAGAGCAAGACAACAAAAAATTTTGCTTCACCTTCACTCCTTCATCAAAGATTATCTCATTTATATCACTGTAAGTTTGATATTTCATTTTTCTCAAGCTAAGTTTACTTTGTGCATTCATATATTATGTTTCTGTTTTAATACTTTCTTGTTTCTTATTCTTTAGTATTTATGTTCATTTTTCGTTTTCTGTTACAGGCTCTTCTCCCATTGTTAGAAGGGTATTTGATTTTTTTTAATCCTAAACCCACTAAAGTCACAAATGTTTACATGTATGTTTGTATATTTCCTTCATTTTGTATTCAAAATTTAGGCACTTGAAAAGTTTTATCACATTTTTTTACAGGGAAATGATTTTTCCAAGAAAAATACAAGCAATACATGTTGGAAATGAAGCTGAGATATAAAGATTCAGGTTTATTGCAGGGAGAAACTGAGCTTATCTCATTGTTCCAATGGAGGGAATGATGTTGGAATGTGAGTTTTCGTTCTAATGGGTACACTTGTTCTAATTGCCTCTTGTTGTTATTTCTGCCTCCAATACAGGTCATTTCCACCAAGGGGAACGATTTCGGTCGTTGTTTTTCTTCTTGATGCAGCTTATCCAACACAACAAAGTGATCCACCAAGTCATGACGAATGCTTAGCTGAGCCTATATGTAACGACCAAAAATTTCAATAAAATTTAAACTTTTCAAAAACATCCCAATTCATTAAGTTATTACAAAAAGATCTTCAATACATTTATTATCAGAGTATTCCCAGGTCCATATCATAATACATAAACACGAGGAGCGATACGATCACGCCTTTGCCTTGCCACGGTCTTCTGACGAACTTGAAAAACATTAAACCATAACTTTAAGCCCGAAAGCTTAGTGAGATACCCCCAAAATACCAACCACATATACCATACACATAACATGCTATATCATATCGAATCACATAACAACCATGCATATCAGGTCTACTGTGTGACTGGTCCGCCGTGTCGGGCCTTCAGTCCACCTGGTCCACCCTCCAAGTCCAGTCATGTCCCTCGAGCCTGCAGTGTGGTTGGTCCACCCGCACCGGGTCTTCAACCCACCTGGTCCACTCACTGAGTCTACAGTATGACTGGTCCGCCCGCATCGGGCCTTCAGTCGGCTTGGTCCACTCTCCGAGCCTCGGTACATCTGGTCCGCCCTCGTGGAGTCTACAGCCTATCCGGACCGCTCGCTGGGCCTTCGGAATAACCGGTCCACCCTGGGTATGTTGGCCTACAGCACAAAGCAGGTCCCGCCTCAACCCAACCCCAGTCAAACAACCATGTGCACATAAACATACAATCATATAACAATTCACATTAAATTAGATCGATCTAGCAGATCACGTAACACAACATACTCTAAGCAGGATACCGACCTAACCGGTCACTAGCATAGCATCTCCCTATATACCAGGATACCGACCTTAACCAGGTCTCTAACGAATACCATCCTAACTATTAGGATGCAAACATAGTAAAACAGCAACATAACTTAAGTACCCGGATTACAATTCGATAAAGGGTCGGCCTTGGTGCCTTAGACCCTGTTGATATAGTGAGGATAACTCACTTCGCAACTGCTGACTGAAAAGATAGATCACGCTGCTCCAACCTCCGACACGAACTTCACCACTGATAATACCAAAAGACTGAACTCAATAAATACCAATAATTACCAAATTACCCCTGGAAGTCAACTGGTCAACCCTTGGTCAAAGTCAACCTCCTAACTGACTCTACTCGCCGAGTCAACCCAATGACTCGTCGAGTCCCCATGCTTAGAACTTCCCCAATCCGCGACTCAACTCGACGAGTCATCCCGAGACTCGTCAAGTCTCACAACTCTGAGTCCCTTTGCACTCAACTCACTGAGTCCTCCC